AACCCAAGCCACTCTGCGGAGCATGAATGGGTCTCTCAATATCTGCTTGGTAGTTTGGGGAGTCTTGAGTGCTGAAATGAAATATGTATGTTTATATCCTGCAGAAGCTAGAAAAGAAGGAAGAAAAAGGGAAGAAGGCCAAAGCCACTTAATTTGAGACCCGCTTTGGAAAACTCTTTGAATAGCAATGAATTTCTTGTACTGGCTGGGCCCGAGTAGCACTGCTCGTGCCTTTTCTCAGAGGTGGAAGCGTGCGGATTGATTGCATTTCAGCCCCCTGTGGCTAGCTTGCCGTCAGCCTCATCCACCGTGCTGAGACCTGGGAGCGCCAGCAGGTGCTCTGCACACGTGTTCCTCCCTCATTCCTATGAACAACCCCAAAAATTCGGAGGCAAGAAATTTTTCTGGGGAATTTCAAACTTGGGAGTTGTAAATGAGGCAACACAAGGAGTGCGACCTGCAACAATGCGCCCAGAGGGGGATTTCCCAAAGTGTTCCTTACCTCCAGCTTCCTGGGCATCAGGGACAGTAACAGGCCCCTTCTGAAAACTCCTATTTCTTATGAACTTGGTGAGTGGAATATGTGGTATGGGAATGAGCCAGAACGAATCACACAAATCACCTCCTGCCCTCCTTTTCTCGTCATTCAGATTATCCACGTTTAAATTCCCCATCCTCTCTCATCGGAATCATACATACTTAGAATGGCGTCTCCTGAAAGCCAGCAGGAAATCTGGACTTGGGTAATATAAATAATGAGAGAGGATAGAAAACATAAGCTTAAACAGAATTTCTTTTCAGCGCTAAAATGTTAATCGTGTTCTTTATTTCATAGGGTACCTCACCGCACCAAGCCTACAGCCTAGAAAAAGAAAAACTCTGTAGATTAGCCAGGATCCCCAGGGCATCGGGAGGAAAAGTTGAGATTTTCCCTGCTTGGGTGGTCTCAAGGCTGCGATTGCTGTAGCACACCGGGAGTGAGCACACTTGAATCTAGTTACCCTCATGGTCCCCTCTCATTTTCCAGGGCAGACTGAGGTTGCTGGGTCCACGAGGAGATAACATGTGTGTGACAGACCCTGAGTTCAGCTCCCCGGCAGCTTTTTAACCAGTTCACCCTTCCTCTACTTCTCCTGTTTGCCTAGATGAAGTCTTCTTTTTCTGTATTTTACACAGATCTATTTTGACTAAGCAGTTTGCAGCTTAACCATTGGCCAAAATGGGCCACAGATGACAGCATTCATGTCCCAGCACGCCATCTGCAGAGGATGTCATAGCACAAATTCTGCACCCCCGTTTCAAACACTGGCAATCAGTTTTGCTGCTAGGTCCATGCAAGAGATAGCAATGACAGGTCTGAAGCCTTTTTCCCCTTTCACTGCTAAACAAAACCCATATGCTTTATTTTATCTACTAGGAATTTCCTAAGGGTGGTTTTAATTATTTGGATTTCTTCTCCCTTCCTTTGAGGTTTTCAACAACACACAAACCGCTAGGGGCAACTGAGGTTTACTACAAACACCCATATTTCACAGAGGAGACTCTTTGACCACGGTCAGAAACTTGTGGAACTCAGTACACCAAGCACCCTTCACCCTGGGCTGAACTACTCAACAATTCATCTTCACCTGCACAGCTCCTCCATCTAAATCCCTACGCTGGGAAGGGACGTTGCTGATGAGGTAACTACATTCAATAATTTCCTTAAATTATAGAAAGAACGTGTGCATGCACATATCAATATCCACACTGCAGAAATCACATAATCTGATTATAACTGTCTACAGAGAAATAAAAATAAAATGGAAGCAAACAACCCGCAAAGGCTGAAGCCAGTCTCTGCCCAGAGACAGCCAGACGGACAGCGTACGATGTACTTGCCCATTCTTGTTGAAGAGTTAGAGTTGCAAAATGCGTGTTATAAATAACAGACCCAGGAGCCCACTGAAGGCTAAATTCGCTCTCAAGGCTTTGCGCAGTACTTCTCTTCCTAAAGTGCTGAAGTTGTTTATGACACCTGTAGAGCCCTGGAAAGAATTACAGCTTCAAAGTCACTCCAGATACATCTGTTATCCTACTGCACATTTGTTTCCTTGACAAAAATATCATAGGCACAGAGCATAATTCAGTCCTACAGTTAAGCTTTTTTAGATTTGATCATGCAACTCTATCAACAAAATGTTTACATCTTGCTGCCTCCACCGTACCAGATACTGCCATCAACTAGAACAGCTCCAGGCCACCACTGGGGAGTGCACGGAGTACCCTCTCCTGTGGCTGGTCTCAGCAGTGACACCTGCAACTTCCTTTTGACCTGGACCATCTTTTCTAAAATAAGAAACCTGTTACATCGCTTCCTTCCTTGGCCCACGGAGATGCTAAGAAGGTCACTACCAGATCGCAGCTTACTGTGCTACGGAGTGCTGTCCTAATCCTGGAAGGACAGGAACGGCCACAGCTGATAAATGACTTGAACAAGTGATTAGAGTCTGGATTTATTTGTGATTAGACCCAGTGATGGCACTCAGCGACACTGGCTGCTTCTGAGAAGAGAGAGACAAAATTTCATCCATCCAGTTTTTATTGAGCTACCCAAACCCTTGCAGTGCGCTTTATGTCCTCCCACTATGGGACACTTCCAACCCTGTATGGGTCAACCTAATAACAGGTATTTCTGTTACCTTTCCTGCATTGCTGGAATAACAGGCATTTTCATCAGCCTTCCTAGGTCTCCAAAGTTACCTTCAATGCCCTTCTTGAATTGCCTGAATAATAGATATTTTCACAGCTTTTTCAGTATCCTGCAAGAAATTGGTAGTTTCACAGCCCCCTCTGGAATCAGCTCTTGTTCTGTGAGCTCCCAATAATTGGAGGGGAAGAGTGAAAAATGAAAAAGAGAAAAAATCAACCAGCAGAGTTCAAGAGTTCAAAAGTCCCATGAAAGGAAAGAAGGAGCTGCCACAGTTCAAGCCCTACAGTTCGTGCACACAGAGTACGAGATATTTTCCTCCTATTAGGGGACAGCACAGCTGTACCTACTTACAATAAATACCCTACATGAAGAGAAGGCTCCATAGTTTAAAGCAGTGGTTAACACACCAGTGGCCAAAATAATGCCTTAGAAAAACACTGGCAGCGATCTTTCAGAAAATATCTTGACTATTCCAGAAATAAAATATTTCTTCCATGCTGCTGAATCTTGTAATTTCATTGGGTGAGTTAAATCCTGGTCTATGGAATTAGGGCACCGTATTCCTCTTATTCATGAGGAAGAAGGGTTTTAGCCAGCTCATCTGTTTAACTATATCAGAATTTTTTAGTCCTACTTCATGTAATGATATTTTCATTGCTACTAAGGGAAGGTACACTGACCCAATTTCCCATTCTCCTTCAATTTCCTAATCTGGGTTTGAAAAAGTTCAGATGAATCTTCACCCCTCTGTAATGTTGGAGTTTCATGGATAAGATTTCCAAATAAGAGAAAAAGTGTAAATATCTTGTATTTTTATATACCGAATGTGGCATCTGCTGAGGTGCACTAACCAACAAAACAGCTCCTACCCACACTATACACGATTTCATCTGGTCACATCTATTTTTTCTCTCTTCTACTTAAGTTCCCAAGGGAGAAGCTCAACCACAATGCTAATTAAGACAAACATGTTACACCATGACTATAAACCCAGCAGAACTGGCAACCGGGGCCTGCTTTTATTCATCTGTCTGGGAACTGGAGGTGAAAGACCACTGCTGAAAACATTACACTGCTCCATGTTCTTAACATTGTGTGTAATCCAGTAACTTCTGTCGAGTCCTGCAATCGTCATTCGCTCTCCATCGATGCCAACTCTAAGATTTACTCAACTGAAGTCCCAGCTCAGGACTTCATCCCCTTCGTTGCTCAGGAAGCACGGCAAGTTTCTAACAGCAACAATCATCCCTGGACCAGCATTTCCTAATACACAGGGCACAGTGTCACTTGAACTGACCCCCAAAACCCTCTTCCACCCTCCAAAGACAGCTCTTCTTCTTCAAAGAGGTGCTTTTGGCTCAGCCTCTTTGGCCAAGCTGGGTATGGGGGAAGCTAAAGCGCATGGTCTGACTGCGCTTGGATAAGTGCCTTTTCCAGATTGCAAGGGGAACATGAGCTGAACTGTCTGCGTGCCAGCTCCAGCGCCTTCCTCCAAAGCCTCCCACGTGCCCAGGACAGATGCGCTCTTCTACGGCTCCCTGGAAAAGCCTCTGATTGTGACTCAGTGTGCCGCAGCAGAAAGCAGCACAGGACGTGCTGTGGAGGCCCTGACAACACAGGGAGCGCTGTCCCCAGACCAGCGCCCTGCTCTCACTCCCCTGGGCTCGGTCTCAGCCCCGTGCGCACACTAGGCCATCGTTTCCCAGCCACCTCTGCAGCACACACAGCACAAACCATTGCTCCCACAGCTTGTGCCCTGGAAGCACCCTTTCTGTTGGGTATTGCTGACTTGGTTATCTGGGGCGCGCACCATGAAAGTCAAAACCAGCGTTTGCTCCCTAAATTACCCAGAAATCACGAGCATATTCACGTGCACTTAACATTGCAAACGTACAGGGTAGAATAAGTATAAACAACGAATCAGAAAATAAAATGTGCTGAATCCCACCACATCCAGAAAGACTACAGATCTGCCCATCAAGGTGTGATTAAGGTACACCAACTCCTACAGCCCGCAGCCCATAAAGGAATGGTAGATTCTCAGTCTATCCATCAACCTTTGGCTCTGCCAACACCCTCACCAGGCCAACGTAAGATCACTTCAGCAGGCTCAGTGGGAAAGCCTACAGCCTGAATCCAGAAAGAAACTCACTCATACCCTTCTGCATCTCAAGGCGTCCTTCCTGCCCCAAATCTCACTATCTAGTCTTTCCACGCGCAGCAGAGCCACAACAGCAGGGAAATACAGTGACCTCTCAGTACCATTTATAATTTCTAAATGTGAAACGAGATAAAATCAGTTACTTACCGGCAATGGTGTGGGCACTTGGGGTTAGTGAGTCCTTCCGGTCACCAGTCAGGGAGCAGATGTAGTACACCTCTACAACGTCAGCTTCACCCTACAAGAATCAGGACACAGAGTTTTCTGCCAGTTGTGATAAGCAGATAATCCAGTACTTTCTAATCCTCAGCAGAGAAGTGTATGCTGTATTGGAAATAAGAGCCTCCGGCTGGTTGTCTGCAAGGATCAGACCCAGGACTTTCAGATCTAAGACGGAGCTGCTTAGCGAGTAGCTCAACCAGAAGACAAAGTCAGCTCTGTCACCAGGACTGAATACTTGGAATAGTTGGTGGGGTGTTGGTTCAGATTGGCTCACGCTAAGCAAGTCCCATGAAAAATACTACATCATGTTAATGCTTGCAGAGAAGACAAGGCTACTGATACATAGAGGTGGGCAGGAATTTTTGGTTACAACGGCTGGGATTTGTTGAGGGAAAACTGAAATATTCCGCAGTAAAAGAGAAGCTTTGCTATGGTTTTCAGTTTTTGTGGGGAAAAGTTGAAAATGGAAATTTTGCTTTGGGTCAGGCTGACTTGAATTGAAACATTTTGTTGACTGATTTGTTTTCCTTTAAGTGAGTTCACTGTTCCTCTGGGTCCCCTTTGAACTGCCAGGATTCCTCCTGGGACTTTAAATTAAGGTGCTTCCCCTCCCCTCCTATGGGCTGAGATTCCTGGTTGGACTGCATGCAATGCACTGATTTATCATCACCTTGAGAGGCCTGCCAGGTAGAAACTAAACCAGGGAGTTCCAGTTCAGAAATAGCAACTAAAGGATTTTCTGAGGCAATCTGTATGTTGGGCAACATGCAGGTGCTTACTGAACAAGCTTCTGTGCAGCAGCAGCTGCACAACCAGCCTTGCAAGCTGTCCTCCTTGCAAGGAAGTCTTTGACTGAGGACAGAGCAGAGCCTATCTGCACATCTCATAAGAACTGGGCTAACCGCTTCCTTAAAAATGAGATCCCATCAAATCCTCTCTTCTCCACAACCAAATTCAAACCAAATTCATACCAAATCTTCCCACGGGCTCAAAAACTCTGGGACAAGTTGCTGGTGCTCAAGCAGACAGGATGAAGCTGAGACCTCCTGGGTGCTCTGTGGTCTCCAGCCCCAGGGTCTGGCATAAGGACCGTCTCTAAGAGCGCAGAGCCTAAACAGCCCAGACTTCACAGGAACTGGAACCTGTCTCCACACTCCCAACTCAGTGCCTACACCATTAACAAGATTCAGAGATTTAAACCCATTTGCCATTCCCTCAAATCAGCTCTCTTTGGCTAGTGAAGATGTACAAAATAGGCAATAAATCAATGCAAGATTCCTGCTATTCTTTTTCCACTTTCCTCAATTGGTAATTATTCCCACCTTTTGCCTTCCAAGCAATGCTTCCTGAGTAACCACGGCTTTTTTTATTGAAAGAGGAACACAATTTCACTCATCTTTGTGAAACACTCAGCTATCCAGGCTGCCTGATCCAAAGGAGAGCTCATGAGGAACAATCAGGGCTCTGTCGGTCAAAATAAATGTTAAGGTGAAGGGTTAGTTCATCTGCCCAGCCTGGCAGGAGAGACCTTCCATAATTAGAGGCTCGATTCAGCCTTCTGCACTGCATTGCAGAAGGTCAGACTGGAATGAAGCTTCAATTAAAACAGAGGAAGGACCAAAGAGACAGAGAAATGAACCACTGGGTTTAACCAATAGAGAGGACAAACATATCTAACGAGCTGATCAGAGTTCACACACTGGCTGTCCCAGCAGAAGTCTCAGCATGTTCTGGCAGTGTTCTGAAGGAATAATCCTTCCTGCACAGGGGCTCAAAGCTCTGCACAATAAAACCACCACAGTGCCAACAGCTAAAATAGGTGACTCTCTGCCATGTGGCCACATTTGCTGTCACCTAAGAACCCAAGAAGAAGTTCACAGGAGATGAACTTCCTAATGCTGTTTCCCGAGTTCCCTTCCATTTCAATGGACCCACCATTCTGGGTTAATGGTCCTCTCCAGAGATCTGGTAGATCTCAGAAGTTCAACCGAATATGTAAAGCACTGGAATGGTCAACATGAGCGCAGAAATGCCGTGAGAACAGGCTTTCAGGCAGGAGAGAAACGGAAGAAGAAGGGAGTAAGAGAAGCTTGAGGCCAAACAGAGTCTGAACAGAGCCCTGAACTTGTCACCTCTTAGTTACACTGGGGACATGGAAAAGCAAATGTCTCGTGGCCTGGGTATGAAGTCTGCTGTGATCACACCTGCCAGAGCCCTGAAGGTCCTTTCTTTGCTGTTGCTTGGACAGAACGGGCAGATGGAGAATTACAGGAGGTCCCGCTGAGGAAGGAGGGGCAGAGGCTTTGCTTGAGTTCTGGATGAAGTTCTGAATGCCTTCCCCCGCCCCCTGCCCTTGCACTACAGCAGTCAGTCTCACCTTCGCCCCTTGACTGAGGCAAAAGTGCTTACCTTGCTCCTAAAGCCTTCCCTTGTCGATAAAAATAACTCAAAAGTGTGGGAGAGGGGGGAGGTGCACAGAGTATAGAAGAGTATCAAAAGCTCTGAGTTCTGTTCTTGGCTCCGCCAAGCACTGGTGCCTCTTTGAGACCAAGGGCCAAATTACTGCATCTCTTTGTGCCCCTTAGGATGTGAAGTTAGATGCGGATGAGGTCTATAAAGTGGACTCATAACCTCACATGGAAGGTATACAAGAGGTGGTGGCACAGACAGAACACACCACTAGCAAGACCAGTGGGGTTAAGAAAAGAAAGTCCACCTCTGCTGCCCCATAATTCCCCATTTCCCAAAGGAGCAGCTGCATTAAAGGCCAAATCGTCCTGCTCCTCTGCTGAGTTCTTTGCTGCATCAGCCAGCGAGGCAGTGGGAGCAGCAGGTTCCAGCCGTTGCAAGGCTGGAGTTAATCAGGGTACTTTACCACCCAGTGATTTTTCTAGAATCACTTCAACCAACTCTGAGAGATTCAAAAATTAAGGAGGAGGGAGGTAAATACCCTGTCAAACTACAGATAAAATACAACAAAATCTCTCAGACAAAGCAAATGCACTAAAACACGTTGTTTTATTTTCACTCTGGGCCCCCAAAGCATTTCCCTTCTCTCTCTGAATGATAACGGGTATGAAAAACAAATATAAATTCTCCAACAAAAAGTAAAATGCGCTGAAGGGTAATAAATCACTGGGACTGGATGGCATTGCAAGGAAGTTGGAGGAAGGAATAAAGGATGAAATAGCCTAGATACTGACTAAGATATATCATAGGCCCTTAACAATCCAGCAACTTGTCCTCAGGGCAGGGGACTCACCACTAAGGGCTGAATTTTGATAAAGAAGCCAAGAGAACTCGCGTAGCAAGCTGGTGAGGTTGGTACCTCATGCTCTCAGCACTGAAGGGCTCAGAGACCAGGGAGCCCCCACCATGGCACCACACTCACCCTTCTACCTTGTGCCACGAAGATGAGACTCTGCACACAGCGAGTCCAAGATCACACACAGAGAAGTGTTGTGGAAACACACTTATCTGCTAACACCAGAGTTTTCCAGAATGCCCTTCCACCCCAGTAGGCTTTAGATATTGTGGCTATATTCTGGGGCTGCCAATGCACCCTTGGTCTAAGCATACTTCTCTAATGCATGCATACTTCTCTAATGGGCACTTTGCTGTGCTGGGCGATCTATTCTTTTAAAGGTTTGTCCCTTGCTTAGGTGTCCAAAGTCAGCAAGCATTTCCAGTCAGCCAGAAATCACACCCAGAACTGACACCAGCTAGAGCCCTTCGAAAAAATGCCATCTTTTTATTTCCCCAAAACAACAAATCAGTACCTGTTGCTCTTCACCAAAGTTAGAAGGTCTGCAAAAAGGAGGTCTGTGACCGTTTTGGGAGGTTTGACACATTTTGGCAGCATTTGCGCACAAGATGAGGGAAAGCCAGACCTGCCCCATGTCATATGCAGAACACGAGATGTGCTCTTCTCGCTCACACGAAGGGGCCTGCACTTGATGTGCCTGCAGCATCATGTGCTGCCCCACATTCTCCCCATGACCGGCGTGCCACATGCAAGCCATTGCATTGGCACTGCAGTAGTGAGACGCATCAAGGACTCCAAAAAAAGTAAAGAGGGAAAAGTCCAGGGCTGCAGTAGGGAAATATGCATTTCCAAAGAGCAGCCATCATGGACTGGATACTCTCTCACCTGAGCTGACTTTCCAATTTGGATTTCTGACAACGTGAAACAGTCGCTGGGGCATCACAGAGAAGCACAGCATTCTGGAAATACCACACCAGCTCTGATTTTTTTCTGACAAATAAGATCACCTCTAATTTTGCAGGAATCTCCTACTTCATTAAAAAGATCTTGCTCTCCGGTGGTTTCCTCCCCTGCTGGGTCAGAAAAAGCAATTTAACTGGGGAAGATGCTTCATCTTTATACTGCCTATCATGATTATTTGTCATTTAAAAACAAGTGTGGAGCAGGTGTGAAATAGCACCAGATCAGGATGCACATGACAAAGGTTGATGCCAACAGTATGTCTCAGCAAGAATCTGAAAGTGCAACTTGAAAATTCATCTTCTGTTTGGTCTCTTACTTGTTTTGTGCCCTCAAACTTCTCAGAAAAATTTCCTTTTGAGCTGGGATAGAAGAAATGGCATTCTGGGGAAGCCAAATGCTTTGAAAAGAAGAGAAGGTAATTTCAGCATCATATGCTGAGGCAGCAACACTCCTTGCATGAGTATTTTGCTTTTCTCGCAGTGCGGATACTGTTGAGGACGCAGGAGTGGGAGTACATCAGCACAGCCACTTGCCTTCACAACACAAAGATGGTAGTGCTAAAACTCCTGCTCCTGCGTCTTCCTCTCTCTGTATCACTTCACCTCCTCTTGCCCTCCCAGATAAAACGTCTGCCTCCATTTGATGCATCCCCTCGTGCTCACAGGCGAGATGGGAGTGAGCAACTATGGAAGTGACCTCAAGGCAATGAGAGTTTGCACTGGGAAACCAGTTGGGTGGTAAAGGGTTTATGCTTTCCCTCAGGGCACCCAGCTCCTTTCTCCATAATT